TCTGCCTGTTCTGTTCTCCACTCTGTCTCTGGTGAAGCCTCTCACCGCCCCTGAGCCTCTGGCCTGTACCCCAGTTCTGTATGCACAATAAATAAGTCTTTAAAAAAAAAAAAAAAAAAGCCCTAAGTCTATACATCTTTCTAATTAAATAGTATAAAAATCTTTGTGATCCAATTTTTGCTTATGGCATCATATTACTCTCAGAATATTGGAAAAATCTTATGGTAATCCTTAGGAGGAGAAAAAAATCTTTGTGTCTCACAAAGTTCCACAATGAAACTTACCCCATTCCTTGAGCTGAAAACCTTCCTCCTCTCCTACCAGAGCCACCTAAAGAAAAAGAAAAAGTTAAATATTTTCACAGTTGATAAGCCTTACCAACTGAGGTAACTCTGAAATAGTAAATGATCAATATTATCAGACATTTTTCACCATGTGGTGCATCAGTTAACCTAACAGCACAGGGTAATCATTACTATCAACAGATCATCCCACTAATAATCAAACTGCTGGGATCTCAAGCAAATCCAGTAATATAAATAATAAAGACTAGAAGAAAATAACATCTACCTTCTTTCCCACTCCCTATTCAGCAGTTTCTCTAGTATCTACATGTCACGATACCTTCAACAATTAAGGTACCAGACTCCCTGTGGAAATGTTTATTAAGCAGACTGCTATGGAACTAATAAGGGTACCAATATCTAAAGCCCCAATAAACCAATCACCTCTGCCTCGGCCTCGACCTCTTCTCCCTCTTTCTGTGCCTCTTCCAGAAGGCCCTCCACTCTTGGTGCCATCTAATCCATTTTCCTGACCCCGAACTGAAATTAAAAACACAGAAACACAGATGGCCAGAGCAGTCAGTAGAATATCTATAATAAACCACACACACACACACACACACACACACACACACACACACACACACACACACACACACACACACACACACACACACCAGGTTAATTTCATGCCAAATTAATGACTATTAATTTGAGGTTCCACGTAAGAGATGCCATGGTCTCAGAATAAATGATGGCAAGACAAACCAAAAGGATGATATAACAGTAACAAGGTCCATCCTAGCAGGGCCCTGACACATCCCCCCCAAAGTCTAGACATTACTGACCCACAGCTGGTTTTGTTAAAGCCCCATGCATACACTCTCGTCCACGGCTGGCACCTCTCCCCCGTCTTGGAGGACCACCACGTCGCCGGCTATAGTCTCTGTCACGGTCTCGATTTTCTTTGCCTTCCTCGTTGGATTCCGTCTGGCCACCATCCTTCTGTCCTGAGACTCCCTTCTTCTTCCCGACCATTTCCCAGGAGTGCTAAAGAAGAGCAGAGCAGTTATGTCTAGTCAATATGGATTACTATCAGGAAACCAGAGATAAAAGATCTGGCAACTATTAACTTTTCTGCATTCAACATCCACCTAGGACACTTCCACTGGTTTACGTATGCTGAAATGCAAATCAACTCTACCTGCAAAACTGAGGGCCTTTGTATAGGGTAAGTGCTTACGCTAATGAAATTCCAGATCAACTCCAAAAGGATAATCAAGATCCAGTCTGGCCAATCTGCATATTAGTCAAAACAGCTAGCTAGCTACTGTTTCCTATCTTTCAAGGATGTTTCTAGAGCTGAAAAGCTACTTCCTTTGCACCCACGGACTCAGCCTTTTAGTTACTTATTTACATCAAATAAAGCAAAAAGGAAAACTGAAAGTTTCTAAGAGTTAAGTATGAAATCCAAACGAATGAGAAGCATTCAATTTTGAGCACAATGTCCAGTAAAGCAGCCCAGAATGAGGAGTAAAACAATCACATTTAACTCTCCTCCTCATACACCAAATTCCTTTATTTATAGACCTAACAACAGTCAGGAAGGCACAGTGCTGGTCCTAAGAAACACTAGTTAAAGAAGCCTTCGAGTCTAGGTTTAATCCACTATGTTCTCTCTCTTTCCACAGAGATACAATCCAATATAACTACACCCAAAGCAGACCAATCTATGATACATTCCAAATTGCGGACAAGGAAAATAGACACTTTTGGGAAAGAGCCTCACTCCTTGGAAAAATTAATTTAGTAAATTAGAATTTTTAAATAGACCCTTGATTTACATGTTTTTATAGATATGCACAAATAAAAGTCTCAGGACAAACACCAAGACTATCCTACCCTAGCTAGTTACCATATATCATAAAGAACAATGGCCCCGGTGCTCAGCTGCAGCTATTTGATATCTAGTAACTTTCACAGAATATAGATGAAGTATAACATGAAATTACCAGTAATTTTCTCATGATGGATAATAATATTGTGGCCACATAAAAGAGTATCCTTTAAGTAAAGCTTGTTGGAGAATTTAGAGAATAAAGTATTAAAATGCTTACTAAGCTGCTTCCAAGATAATTCCAAATGGGGCCCTCCCTGGTGGTGCAACAGGTTAAAGCACATTCCAAATCGCAGAAAAGGAAAATAAACAATTTTGGAAAAGAGGCTTACCCCTTGGAAAAATCAATTTAGTAAATTACAATTTTTAAATGAAGCTATCTGCAGCCACTGCAGCACAAATTCAATCTCTGGCCAGGGAGGTGATCCACATGGTATAGCAAACCTCTCTGTCTTGCTCACTGCTCCTCTCAACAGTGTATTTCAGTTAATCCGCCTGTTCTGTTCCCTCTCAAACACTCCCCCTGCACCCCCCCACCCCCCGCCCACACACACACCTTCACATCACTGGCCTATACCCCAGTTCTGGTATGTTAAAAAAAAAAGCTCCAAATGTCCACCATGGATGAATAAACGTGGTGTAGACATGTTGACAGTATTATTCATTCATAAAAAGGAGTGAAATTTGGACACATCGTCCTTTTAGTCCAGCACTGTAGTGAGTGCTATGACAGCAGCTGCTCTTCAAACTTTGACATAGCACCCCAGAATGATAAAAAGAAAGATGCTCAAAAGTGAGCCAAGAAAGACAACGGTGAATAAATTTGGGGGCAAGGCCATTAAGAATTGGTCCAAAGGAGAAGTTCTGGACAAGCTTATTAAGCTAGCCTAGTTTGACAAAGTCACACGTGACAAACTCTGTTAAGTTCCTAACTGTAAGCCCATAACTCCCCAGCTGTATGTCTAAGAGGGTGAACATTCATGGTTCCTTGACCAGGATGGCCCTTAAGGAGCTCCTTAGTAAAGGACTTAATCAAAACACAGAGCACAAGTAATTTACACCAGAAAACACCAAGGCTGGAAATTGGAAATGCCCCAGCTGCTGGTGAAGATGCATGAACAGGTCTTACCAACTGTACAATCTTAAAAATAAAGCTTTACTAAAAAAAAAGTCTGACATGTGCCACAAAATGGACAAACCTTGAAACATTATGCAGAGTCAAGTCAAGCCATATACAAGGGAAAAATATGTAACTCTATACTCAACAGCTCATAGAAGGCAAACTCACAGAAAATAAAATAACACTGGGGGAAAGAGGAGGCAGGGACTTACTGAAAAAGTTCTGGAAATAGAGCATGGTAGTGACTATAATGATGTTCATGTGCATAATGCTACTGTACTGTAATTTTAAAAGTGATAAACTGTTAAATATACTTTACCAATTTTAAAAAGGTTTAAGTTCAAAATAGGGTAAACAATATTAATACTAAAGATATATCTACATATTCTAAAGTATGTAAAATACTAAAGTATTACATTTGTTTTTCTTCTTGATTTTTTTTTAAAAAAAGATGTATTAATTTATGCATACAGAACTGGGGTACAGGCCAGAGGTGCAGGGGCAGTGAGAGGATTCACCACACACAAAGTGGGAGCAGACCAAGCTGAATGACAAAATACACTGCTGAGGGGAACAGCAGGTGGGTCAGGTCTGCTGCACCATGTGGATCACCTTCAGGGCTGGGGAGCAAACTCACTAAGCGGCTGCAGCTAGCTTTAGTGCTTTGTCCTAACCAGTTGTGCCACCAGGAAAGGCCGTAGTAATTTTTTTTAAGGAGTGTATTTTTTACCTAGGTCTTGACACTCCTCACTGCCTACTCTTACACCCTCAATATTTCTGGTCTGTCATTCTATGCTGAGTTTTAATTCACAAGCCATAGTAACCTTACAGCCCAATCTGAATCAGGAGCCCAAAAAACCAGACTCAAATCAACTTTTAAAGTTTTCAATAATCTGTCTCAAAACCTGGCAAGTTTCAGAAACCTGTCACTCTCTCCCTCCTCTATGGTATACACCAACATCTAACATCAGATGGGCTCTATAAAGAAAAAGAATTATTAAGCTCTTCCCAAAGGCATTACCAGTTTTTTTTAATATGACTTCACCCACCTAAATACATTTAACATCTCTGGCAACTGGCTTTGCTTCTCTTTGGTTTTATTAGTAGCTGATTTATACATGGCATAGTCTACAGCCGCCCTCCAATTTATCCTCCTTTTTGATACTATAGATCAGACTTGTAACACTAAATGACAGGTGAAATAAATGTATGCCAAAAAAAAAAAAAGTATACTTAAATAAAGCATGGTAGTCCCACTTCACCGCCCCACCTGAAAAAAACACCTCAAGACAATCAGTCTATAGTAACATAAAAATGAACCAAAGACCTTATGCCTTATTGTACAGCCAGGGAACTTTCAAATAAGGTTAATTATAGAAATTTTAATCCATAATCCACTTTTAAAGAAAAAATTGTACAAATTTAAATGCAACTTAAAAGCTTTCCATTAATGTCCCACGATCTAGAGGAAACTGACAAACCTCCAACATTTAACTAAAGTGGTAACACGTTATCAATAAACTAACCTAAGGATACACTCTAGTATCAATCCCAACCAAAGATCCTCAGTGTAAAACCAAATAAATGAAAATATTTCTAAATGACACCATATTCATGAATAAAGAAATGCTCTAGTAAGAGCTGCAAGAACATCCCAAAGGTTAGTAAGGCAGAACGCCCATTCCTTTTTAGAAAGATTTATTTATACATACTTAACTGGGGTACAGGTCAGAAGTACTGGGAGGTGGGGTGGGTGGAGAGAATTCATCAGCGACAGAGTGGGGAGCAGAACAGGCAGATGTACTGAAATACACGGCTGAGGGGAGCAGCGGGCAGGTCAGGAGAGGTCTGCCACGCCATGTAGGTGTCACCCCCTTGGCTGGGAATCAAACTCATGCCGCAGTGGCTACGATAGTTTCACAGTGCAAGAGCTTTATAGTGCTGTGCTTTAACCCGCTGTGCCACCAGGGAGGGCCCAGAATGCCCATTCTGAAGAGACTTACAATTTGGTAAGATAGCACAGATATAGATAGAAATCTCATGAGTAGAAATTAAAGAGATAAAAGCAAATTCTCTATATTCAAGTGGTTCTCCAAAATTGCCCTATCATCTCCCAGAACGGTCAACAGAAAGTAAAATTTAATTGCTATTTCAGCAAAAACAAGTTTACCGCAGCCCTCCCTGGTGGTGCAACAAATTAAAGCACACACTATGAAGCTACCTGCAGCCATTGCAGCACTAGAGTTCAATTCCTGGCCAGGGAGTTGACCCACATGGTGCAGCAGAACTCTATCTCACCCACTGCTCTCCTCAGCAGTGTATTTCAATCTGCCTGTTCTGCTCCCCACTCAAGTCTCTGGCGAATACTCTAACCCCTCCCCCCATACCTCTGGCCTACACCCCAACTCTTATATGCATAACTAAATAAATCTTAAAAAAAAAAACTTGAGGGCCCTCCCTGGTGGCGCAGCGGGTTAAAACACAGCACTGAGAATCTAAAGCCGCTTCCACATGAGTTCGATCCCCGCCTTCCCCGGAGGTGACCACATGGCGTGGCAGACCTCTCCTGACCCGCCCACTGCTCCCCTCAGCAGTGTACTTCGTCGATCTGCCTGTTCTGCTCCCCACTCTGTCTCTGGTGAAGCCTCTCACCATCCCTGAGCCTCTGGCCTGTACCCCAGTTCTGTATGCACAAATAAATAAATCTTTAAAAAAAAAAAAAAAACTTGAAAAAAAATGACTAAACTAAAATAGTACCTCTAATTGAGACTAACCTAGTCTTGAAAAGTTACTCATATAATGTGAGTGATTTATTCCAGATCAACTATAAGAAACTGATTTTGTCTGTCTTCTCCTATTTGTTGTATGTACATTTTAAGTATTTACAACCGACATCTTCAAGACCTCTATTTAGAGAGCAAAGTGTTGTTTTAAATTGAATTATTGCTAAAAATAATTGCTACTTTTAGAATATTACTAGTCTCTCAATCAGGAACCCACTTTCTAGAACATTTTATTAACACTCTACCGTATCTGGGTTTCCTTCCAGCAGTACATTGATGGCTCTGTTGACATCTCCATTGCAGTCATGCAAAGCAATGACACATTCATCCTGGTTCTTTCCTGTAATATCAATCAACTGAAAAGAGAAAGATCAGCAAACATCAAGAAGAACTTGCACTCCCCACAAAAGGAAAAACTAGATGAAGAGCTAAAATGAGAAAAGACATTTAGCTGAATCTCAAAGCACCAGGCTAAAAAGCAAAATAAGTAGAATTGTGGTATTCTAGTTCCAAAAGCAAAACATTAATACCTATGATTAGGGATGGGGTCAAAAGTATTGACAAAGCTATCAAACAAATACTAGAGACTCAAATCCAGAAAACACACAAACTTCAGCATAGCAAGAATTTCCATAGTTTTCTACAAAAGCATTCAAGAGGGTAAAAAAATAAACAAAATTAAGACACCACCTCACTGAACAAGGTATCTATCCAAAGAGTATAACAAATCAAACAGTAAAAGCATTTATTTATTGCCTTAAACTACCGTATTAATTCTACCAATACCTATAGTAGAAAGCGTCCTTGTAGATCTGTTATTAACAGACTTTAATTCTGACATCTTTTACCATAGCTTGTAGCAAATTAGTGATACACTCACTTGTTTCACCTTTTCCTCAAAGTCAGCATCATTATGGTCCGAAATCATCTGTGCAAGTCGAATTTGTTCTGCAGTGGCCTAGAAATCGAAAGAAGATCAAGAAGGCATGATCAAGAGTTTAAGAGAAGTAAGAGGGAGCTATGCAGTCAATATCCATCCCTCACCCACCCCAATTTCCTCCTTTTTACAAATGACCAAATAATAAGAACTAACACCACTCAAGATGCTTCAATCAGCAAAATGACCAAAACAACAAAAAGAACAGTGAAAACAGAGTTTTTTCACCAATGTTCACAGTTAAAGAGGTTTTCCTCTTGGGATCACAGCACCACTTTGAAACATCTGCGCCTTAATTCACATTTATGTTCTTTACAAAGTCATGTGTTGTTCCTGCTTCTGCAACAGCCAAAATCATCCTCTTATTCCAGGGCTGAGGACACCATAAGGTTTAATCTGAGGACAGACTGAGTATATCTGCATATACAGTGCATGTTTAGAAGATTATCACGAATTTTACTGTCCCAACTGAGATTAAATACTAAAATTTTGCTAGAATACACTTGGAAATGCAAGTCAAAGAAAAATGGGTAAGATGAAAACTCTAGCCTTAGAAATTCAATATCTGATCACAATCATGCTAGATACCAAGCAACACCAACTGGATATAGAAAATAGATCAGATCTAAGTCAAACTTGCAAAACAAACATCATCAGCAAAAATCGTAAATCTCAGTACTCAGGAAGTTACTCTTTTAAACTGAGCAACACTCTAGGATGTCTCAATTGTTAATTTTCAAGGAACATATTGAAGATGCTCACTCCTCACAGAGAAAGAGAAAAATCAGATTAGGTGGGCTTCAATGAGACCAAAAAGGAAGAAAAAAGTAAGGGAAAGATGAGCAAAAAAAGGAGAAGGTATCAAGACAAAGGTTGGCTAGAGAGGCATCAAGGTGGAAGATCTAGGAAAGAAAGGCATTGCTAAAAGTGGCCCAGATGAAAGAAGGGAAATGCTATCTTATAAATACAACTGAGAGCACCCACATTTTCCCTACACCTCACAGTGCAGTATTAAACAAAAAGCAAGCATGCTGCAATAAAGTATGTCATGTTATCAAGCTCCAACTAAGTAGAAGAACTAGAAAGCCAGAATAAAGAAGCCAAATCAATAAAGCACAGACTGTGATGCATTGGATGGAAACCAGTATCAACCAGCAAAACTACCCATGGATCCACATCCCTTGGATTCTTTACCTGTGGCCGCTGCTTGTGCTGTGTCTGATTTTGGTTTTGAGGTTGTTCCCAGTTTCCCCGGGCTCGGTTAGTGCCCACCGATGTCATCATTTACAGTATATACAAATAATAGTATTTACAAGGTAGAATACTGAAAGAGTTAAAAAAAAAAAGTTTAGATTGTTAACTGTGGGCAAAATGTTTCAGCCTCTTTCATCAGCACCTTTACTTTCATTTCTTCAAAGGAACAAACTATGAAGATTCACCTGATCCTGAAACTTAGTTTGATCAATTCCTTAAGGATATTTGACTGTTAATACTTCCAATTAACAAAAAGTATAAGTGAGTTGTTTTTAAGTTATAAGTAGACTTTCTTTACTAGCTCTCTGTAAGTATAAACTTGATGAATTTCTGCAACCTTGACCATAAGTAAAACAATGTTAATAATCAAAAGCTTTTTATAAGTGAAACTATCTTAAATTCCTTTAACAAAAGGAAAAATAGGTAAAGCCTAGAAGCAAGCCTTCCAGATTCTTAAGTCTATAAACCAAATAAAAATTTTAAATACTGTTCTACTTATGAAAACACCCTTACCTGCCTTAAAAACATTTTATGTAACTTGCATGTACATGACCTCCACCTTTTGGGAAGGTCTAGCCTCTTTCTCCCTAGCTTATATTTCTCAGCAGGCTGTGAGGGTAGCATGATCCTGTGGCCTTCAACAAGTCATATATAAGCCCTGGTGAATTTGCCCAGAATTCAGTTCTCTGAGTAATAATTCCAATACACTGCTTTTTGGCTGCTTCTGTCAGTCTCCTAGTCCACAGTTTCAAGAAACCAGAATTGCAATTACCCTCAACCACTCACCTGAATATACAGAGTCCCAAACCAAAAGCATTTAACACAAAATTTTATTTGGAAGGGCTTCTGGGAAGTCATTTTAAACTTGAGATATTATTGCTGACAAGATGACTTTGTTGAGTCTTTAAAGAGACAAAGAAGACGCAGGGCCTTCCCAAAACCAGAACAGTTTTTGTTAAAACTCTTCTAACAAGCAAGGATTCTACTGAATTTAATTTCCCTTCATTCATACTTTCTTTTATGATGCAATCTCAGCTGCTGCATTTAGTAAACAAAGAAAACATTCATCATATGGAGTGCTCAAATTAAAGAGATTACTTCACTTTGCTTCATTCCCTTCCAAAAAATATGTTTATACCTTTCTACTTTATATTTTTGTTCATTAGTGTCACTTTATGCAAGGTAAGTCTAGACTACCCAGAAACATTGTGGATTTGAAGGAGAGGCTGGAGGGGACTTCTAAAGAAATATGCAAGGATTGACTATTGGGGAATTTCACCTATTTCTTGGGTCACAAAGCTGTAGATAAATCCTTCACCAAGTTGGGTCAATAGGTTACAAAGACCTTAATTTTTTTATGTCATCATTAAGAGTTAAGAATTCAACATTCTCTATCACCAATAAAGATTTTAAGGCAACTTACGGGCTAATTTTTAACCATTACCTCTCCCCACTACACACATGTGCACAAAAAGGCTATCAATATTTCAAGTTAGTAGAAGGCTGTTAGCTACACAGTAGTTTATTTTCCCAAGCTAGCATTATAGTCAAATTTCAACACTTAACTTACAAAAACAAAATAAGTTTAACCAAGTGCCCGGGTTCAAATCAACAAACTAGAGGAAAATTATGCTCAATAGTTGATTCTAGGATGAAGTTTCTAATATGGGAATGATCATTCTAACTTACAAATACTAACTTTCTAGTCCATATGCGATTTCAATTTGTGAGCATGAGTTACACTGCAGATATAAATTGCATAACTAGTTATATGTACGACCACATGTACTGTACCAGTCAACATATATTTTAAAAACATCTGAAAACCACATATTTAGCAGAGAAAAAAATCTTCATGATCATTCTTGCTTAACTTCCATCTGTCTCTTGCAAGTGATTTGAAACATGTGACTAAGAACATTTTACCACCTAGAAGTAACACTACCAAGCAACAGGTCTAAAGTTATCTGGGATGGATCACTAGAGGACACAAAATTAGCGGCCTTTGAGTAACAAGGACAGACACATACCCAGAGTTATCACAGTGAAGATGAGAAATCTTAAGTACTCTTTCTTCGAAAATAAAAACATTCAAAGAAAACAAGTGAGAAGTATTGTAGACCAAGGAATAGTGTGGGAACAGATACAGGTTTCAACACAAGAATGCCCCTTTAACCATATCTTGAAAACCAGCTACTTAAAAAAATAGCCAGAGAAATTTTACAGAAAAAAATAAATAACAAGTATTTATTGAATATCTACTGTGTCCAGTACTTTAGGAAATACAAAAACAATGACTTAATGCTGCCCTCAGGGAGCTTACAATCTAATTAATTTGTGTAACAATTCAGAAACTGAGGTTGGACTTGGGGAGTGGGGGGAGTAAAGCTCCCTACCTCTAACAGAGCAAGGGAATTCCCTAGACGCTGTATGAAAATAACCCCCCATCCTCCCCATTCCCACATCAACTTGAATCTAATTTGAAAAAGAGTACTTCCCAGTTAGGACACATTTTGCAAGGAGGGCTATAAAAATAAAAAACAAAACAGTACATCTTTAGGTCTTTCATCATTAGTTTACATGCCTGCAACACTTCCCGTTCACAACGGAAATAATCACTGTGATAGTCTAATCTTTAAGGACAATGGTGCAGAGTTTTACAATCCATACACAGGCATACCAGTTCACTGGTAAAGCTGATAGCCACTGACCCTCATCACCTCCCAGCAAGTCACATCAGATATCCCCAAAGCAGAATATGGGCGGTGGGAGGTAAGGGAGGAGACAAAAAAAAGATTTCTCCCTCTTAATATTCAGGGAGGGCCAAAAGCCAAAAAGAAAAAAAAAAAGTAACAACAAAATGCTGTTCCTGTGATGGTTTTCTTTTCACAACACCCTACACCAGAGGTGGCTACATTTCAAGAACGGTGGAAAAGAAGCAGTCTGTTTGTGACATCAGTTTGCAAAACAATTTAGGGACTGTCTCGACAAGGTGAAGGGTCTAGAGCATTTTGGAATCCCTGCCCCACGATGAGAAGAGTGAACAAACACCCCAGTGCTCTAGTGACGACCCTCAGGTGTAAAACACCCATGGGGGTCTCCAAGTCCAGCGTCCCAAATAACATAACTGAGATTCCCAGAACTACTATCTGGACAACAAGGAGGTAAAGACAGAAGCAAAGAACATTATTTTAAGAGCCGGGGCGGTGAGAAAGAAGGAAGGGTAATAAGAGGAGCTGACAAAGAGGCTGGAAACCGAGAGGGGACGCAAGCCCACGCGTGGAGGATGGGAGGCTCGCCCCACTCAGCGCCACATCGGAGCTACCGGGCCAATCGCCTCCTCACCTCCCACCCGGAACAAATTAATCCTCCGCACTCCAAACTGAGGGCCACATGGGGGAGTTCGGCCAGCTCCACCCCATCGCCCTCCCTCTCCCCTCCACCTCCACCCCCAAACCAGGCCGGATCCGGATCAGAGGAGGCCCGCAGAGGGTTGGAAAGGGAGGAGGCCCCTCGTCTTCTCCACAGGCACCGGCTAGGGAAGAGAGAGGGCCCTACCTCAGGCGGGGCCCAGGCCTCACTCGCTCGCGCTCTTTCTCGTTCTCACCCCCTTCAGGCTCCAGCCGCATGGCCCCCCCTCCGACTGCCCCAAGCCCCGCCCCGGCCACGCTCCCAAATCGAGGCCCCGGCTCTGGCGCGGCCCACTAGGCCGCGAACCCAACCATAAACAAAACCTCCAGCGGCCGACTCGGTGGAGGGGGAGGGGGGACGCCGGGGCTCGCACGAACATGACGGGGGTGTACAGTAGGGGAACACACGGTGCGGGGGGGCGCACCGAGGGAGGGGGATACGGCGGAGGTAGGGGAGAAAGGAGGGAGGGTAAAAGGGGGGATCGCGGATTTAAAGGGGCCGCGGACAATACCCGGCCCCGCCGCGTTGCCGCTGCCGCCACCGCCGCCGCCAACGCCGCTGCGCTCCCAACTTTACCTCAGTCTCCTCCACACTGACACCCCGGGCCGCGCCGCCCCTATCACGTGATATAAGGTTCCCTCCTCCCCACCCCCTCCCTGCTTTTCCCTCTCGCGCTCGCTCTCGCGCCTTCCCCCTCCCACTTGCCTTCCTGCGTTCCCCAACACGTGACGCAAAAAGGAACGCGCACGCTTGCGTGCGCGCGCCGCCGCGCCACGAGACACCTCATTCCAGCTCCGCAGGTCCGCCCGCCTCCTCCACAGCGGCCCCGCCTCCACCACGTGACATACGACGGCCTCCGCTTCCTCTCACTGGCGTAGTTCCGTGTCTCTGCACTCTACGCTATAGCCACCCAGAGTCACGTGCTGGGGGTAGCGGGAAGGCGTCGTTCTTCTTTCCAGGGCCCACCCCCCCCAGTCCGCCATGTTTTCAGACCGGGTCTACCTTGCTCTTTCCCCGTAAGGAAATGGCCGGGGAGCTTCAGGGAAACCAGGCGCCGTTGCCTCCGCGGAGCCCGGGCTGACGGGATAGGGCAGCGGGGCAAACCGGAGCAGTTCTGCGCGGGGTGGGGAGGCCATGGCGTCCAACAGTAACTGGCTGTCCGGGGTGAATGTCGTGCTGGTGATGGCCTACGGGAGCCTGGTGAGGAGATCCCCTACCCTGTTCCTGATGTCGCCTCTGACCCAGTAGAGGCCCTCTTGGGCCGCTCCTTGCCTCCACTCTCCACCCACTCACCTGCGCTTTTCTCTGGGCTTTGACTCCTATCTCAGGAGTACTTGGGAGCCTAAGTCGCAGACTTGGACCGCCCCGCCCCCGGTCGAGAACCCTCCCTCTAAACTCCGAGACAGACCACCACGCCTTCCCGCAACAGGCTTCTTTATATCCACCACATCTCTTGACAGTCTTGCGTTGTCTTAAGGGATACCCCAAATCTGAGAGCCCGAATCTGAGGATTTGAAAGCATGCTTTGAAAAAAAGTGTTTCATTAAAGATTCTTTCATGTCTCTTGGACAGGTGTTTGTACTGCTATTTATTTTTGTGAAGAGGCAAATCATGCGCTTTGCAATGAAATCTCGAAGGGGACCTCATGTCCCTGTGGGACACAATGCCCCCAAGGTAGGTCCTTAAAGTTTATCCAGATCTTTAGGAACCAGGATGAGCTTATCTGTACCTTTAGCAATGACATTAATAACCATGTCTCCTTGTTGAGTCACCCACGTGCTTTGTAGGTTGAACAACCTCTGTCAATTTGGGTCTTGGCTTAACAGCTAATGCATAGGAGCAAGCTTACCCAGGAGCTTGGTGTTTTGCATCTGTAGAATGAAAGACTTAGGTTTAAATGCCTCAGTCTTTGTGGTGTGTTTCTCGCCTCGGTTTTTCTTTTTTTTTTTTTTAATTTTTGCTTTAGGATGGGGTGAGGGTGGTTAAAAATAACCCACGGGGATTCCAACTGAGATGGAAAAAGGCACAAAATGATGTGAAAATAAGCTATTATATTATTTAAAAAATTAACCCCAAATACATGTTTTTGTAGACATTTCATTTTATGAGTCCCTTATAAATCACCTAGATCCATAACTCACGTTGCAAATTGAAAACAAAGCTACTTAACTCAAGGATGTACAGAAAGTGCATTAGCCAATACTGTCTACATCCTCTCTACTTTTTAAAAAAAATCTTTTTTAAGATTTATTTATTTATGCATAATTTATAGGGTACATAGGGGGGGTGAATTTTCACCAGAGAAATGAGTGGGGAGCAGAATAGGTAGATTTCTGAAATACTGCTGAGGGGAGCAGTGGGCGAGATAGGAGAGGTCTGCTGCACTCTTTGGGTCACCTCCCTGGCCTGGGATGGAACTCACAGTGCTATAGCTGTTAATAACTCGATAGCTGAGACTTTAACCCCTACACCACCAGAGAGAGCCTGTCTGTATTCTTCTAAGTAATTTGTTGGGTCTCCCTGGTGGCGCAGGGGTTAAAGGGCAGCACCATGAAACTCTTCGCAGATACAACCCAGTTCCATCCCAGCCATGGAGGTGACCCATATGGCATGATAGACCTCACCTGTGTCACCTGCTGCTCCCCTCAGCATTATATTTCGGTTAGTCCGCCTCTTCTGTTCCCACTGTCTCTGGTGAGTTCACCCCTGTCTCCCACTTCTGGCCTGTACCCCAGTTCTTGTATACATAAATAAATCTTTTTTTTTTTTAAAAAAAGTAACTTATAGTCTTCCTTTATATGGCTTTAAATGTCTATTGATGAAAATTTATTTTTACCCCAGACCGCTTTCCTGAGCTTTATCTATCCAGCTGCCTACCTTGTATTCCCAGATTTCTTTTTAGATTTCTTTATTTATGCAAACAGAACTGGGGTATAGGCCAGAGGTGCGAGGTGATAAGAGGATCCACCAGAGAGAATGGGGAGCAGAACCGACAGATGGACTGAAAAACACTGCTAAGGGGAGCAGCAGGTGGGTCTGGAGAGGTCTGCTGCGTATGTGGGACACCTCCCTGGCCAGGGATCGAACTCCCTGGCTGCCTCACAGTTCTGTACTTTAACCAGTTGTGCCACCAGGGAGGGCCCCCTACTTAGATTTCTATAGGCATCTCAAATCAAACATCCAGATTTGACCCCTTGATACCCTTCTACTGCACAATCATGCTACTCATTTACTTTCTCAGGCTCCTTTTGTATGACTTCCCACAAATTACTGGGATCCAGCAGTAGTGGTTGAATTTTCCACCTATACATGTGCTGTTAGGGTAACCTAGAACGATCTTCCAAGTATTTGCTCTTGTTTTCTCACAGTACCTTGATTTCTTGTAGATAGCATGTTACTGTGAATATCCCTTCATGTTTAATTGTCTATTGTTTAATAGTTCTCTCTTCCTGTCTGTAATAAGCTTGCAGCAGCATGACACCATATAGGACCCATCAGTTTTTTTCACCACTATAAAGCCAGGACATACATATATATGCACCCAATGATTCCTTGTTGAATGAAAAGCAGGTTAGTTGGAGAGCTAGTAACAAATGATTCTCTCAACTCTTAGACCAATGTTTTTTCATTAAGCAATACTGTTAACTCTCCCTCTAGTATTCTTTGCTGATGTATTGGAAAGCCTCAAGAAAGATATAATAGCCTAAACCTTAATAGTGCTCCTTCCACATACCCTTACCTCTACAGATGTCAACTGCCTCCTTTAAAGAACAGATATAGGCCCTCCCTGATGGCGCAGCAGGTTAAAGCACTGCACTGAGAAGCTAAAGCCACTTCCGCATGAGTTCATTCCCTGTCTGCCCCGGAGGTGACCACATGGTGTGGCAGACCTCTCCTGACCCGCCCGCTGCTCCCCTCAGCAGTGTACTTTGTCAGTCGGCCTGTTCTGCTCCCCACTCTGTCTCTGGTGAATCCTCTCACCGCCCCTGCACCTCTGGCCTGTATGCACAAATAAATCTTTTAAAAAAAGACAGATATGGTGATCCTCCCTGGTGGTGCAGTGGGTTAGGACAGGGTTAGGATGCAGCACTGCAAGCAAGCCGCAGCCATTTTGGTGTGAGTTTGATCCCCAGAGGTGATCCACATGGCACAGCAGACCTCTCCATCTCATCTGCTGCTCCCCTCAGTAGTGTACTTTGTTGATTTGCCTGTTCTGTTCCCTGTTCTGTCTCTGGTGAAGCCTCGCACCACCCTTGCACCTCTGGCCTGTATGCACAAATAAATCAAATCCTTAAAACAAACAAAGGGATATAAGGTTAACTTATCTAATATATCATGAATCACTCAAAACTTGGACTAGGGGATTTCCCCACCCCCAACCCCCATGAGATCAGGATTACTCTGCTTTTATTTTTTTTAATGATTTATTTATTGGCCCTCTCTAGTGGCACAACAGGTTAGGATGCAGCACTGCAAGTTTAGCCGTAGCCGCTTCAGTGTATGTTCAATCCCCAGCCCTGGAGGTGATCCACAAGGCGCAGCAGACTTCTGACCCACCCACTGCTCCCCTCAGTAGTGTACTTTATCAGTTTTTTTAAAGATTTATTTATTTATGCATACAAGAACTGGGGTACAAGCCAGAGATGCAGGGGGGCAAAAAGGTGAAAGGATTCACCAGAGACAGATTAGGAACAGAATAGGTAGATTAACTGAACTACACTGCTTAGGGGAGTAGCGGGCAACACAGGAGAGGTCTGCTGCACCATGTGGGTCAGCTCCCTGGCTGGGGAACCAACTCATCCTGCAGTGGCTACTAATAGCTTCATAGTGCTGAGATTTAACTCCAGTGCTATCAGGGAGTCCCTCATTTTGCTTTGGGAAAAAAAGAAAAGTCATCTAAATTCTAGTTAATTGCTAGTAGAAGTATAATGTAGTAAAGCCACTATGGAAAAAAGTGGGTGTTATCAAGGAAGGTTACATATATATCTAATCCACAGCTCCAGTAATCCCACTCTTACAGAAAAGTTTTGTTCATGTATACTGGGAGACGTGTATAAGAGTATACATAGCATTGCTTATAATTAAGAAACAATGCAGATGTTTATATGTGGATATATGTATTTTTCAATACTATAAAGAGTAAAAATGAACAAGATAACTATATATGAACACAAGTGACTTCAAAATATTTCTGAATGAAAAAAGTAAGCTACAAAATGGAATGATTCCAGAAACCTTTTGAGTGGGAAAAAAAGCCAGAAAGCCATTCGCAAAAGAATATCTACCATATGGGGCCCTCCCTGGTGGTGCAACAGATTAAGCCCAGAACTATAAATTTGTCCTCAGTTGCTTCAGCATGAATTCAAACCCCAGCCAGGGAGGTGACCCACATGGCACAGCAGACCTCTTCTATCTCCCCTCTGTTCCCCTCAGCAGTGTACTCCATCACTCTGCCTGTTTTACTCCCCCCTCTGTCTCTGATGAATCCTCTCACCACCTCTGCACCTCTAGCCTGTACCCTAGTTCTGTATACATAAATACACCTTTTTTTTTTTTTAATTATATATTTATATAGAAGAACTGTGGCATAGGCCAAAAGTTCTTAGAAAACCCAACCTGGGGCCACTTTGTTGGCACAGGATTAAAGTCTCAGTACTATCAAGCTATCACCAGCACTACAACATGAGCTCAATCCCCTGCCAGGGAGCTGACTCACATGGCATAGCAGACCTCTCCTGTCAGGCCCACGGTGCTCCCTTCAGCTGTATATTTCGTCAGTCTGCTTGTTCTGCTCTCCACTCTGTCTCTGGTGAATCGTCTCACCTCCTGTACCTCTGGCCTATACCCCACTTCTTGTATGCATAAGTAAATAAATGTTTAAAAAGAAAAAAAACCCAGCCCTGTAAGTTCTTGCATCTTACCTCAATTTTATTAACCGAATGAACATTTTATTCTGTTTATCTTAGTGGTTCACTTGCTCTGCTCCATTTCCAGATTGAAGGGAAACAATACAGAGTAAATTATTGTATATTTTCTTTATATGACCAGGACTTGAAAGAGGAGATTGATATCCGACTATCCAGAGTTCAAGATATCAAGTATGAACCTCAGCTTCTTGCAGATGATGATACAAGACTAATTCAACTGGAAACCCAAGGAAATCAGAGTATGTAGCAGAATCTTAAGTGAGGAATCCCGCAAGTTAAAAATTCCTTTGCTGGGGGGGGGGAAGGGAGGGAAATGCACGGGACTATGGTGGTGGCACAGGGGTGATTTGGTGATGGGAAACCCGTGGGGATTACAATTGAGATGAAAAAAAAAATGTGCAAAATGATGTAAAAATAAACTTTTTAATAAAAAAAAAAATTCCTTTGCTCTCAGACTTGTCAGCATAGCTACTGGCTGACCAACAGCTGTCTGTTTCCTCTGTAGCTGGCTAGTATGTCACATGTGGGGAGACATTAACTTGCTGGACAATCTTTTGAGTGTTATGCCTGAGAACATTCTCTTTCTCAACAGCTTGCTACAACTATCTATACAGGATGAAAGCTCTGGATGCCATCCGTGCTTCTGGTAAGGGCTACTCAACAGGATCCTTTTGGGATTCTCAGTGCTCACTTGGGGAAGAGAAGGAAGAACCCACTTAATATGTGTTAGCTTTGTCCTTTCTGCACATCCCTAACTAGTAAAAGGTTTCTAGTGTTAAAGAGTTCTGGGTTACTCTCCTAAGTCAATGATATAGACAACTTAATCTCCAGAGAGTCTAGATTTGTATTGTTGTTCTTTTAAGCCCCTATTTTCATGAACTAGATGGTGGTAATGTGCTTGTTTATCCACAAAACACAGGCAGCATCTGCTTTTTCATGATGCTAAAGAGAGTTGGTTCTTAAATTTTTGTCCCCGTACTGTAACCATACATGCACTTCTCTACCAAAATAATAGTTTATATCTGAAAGCCAGGATAGGTAAGTAGGAGAGTAAATGGGATGATGGTGTTCCTGCATATGGTTGGTATAGCTCACAGTTGTGTTGCCACCGCCAAATGACCATTCTATTATCTCCACAGAGATCCCATTTCATACTGAAGGCCGGCATTCCCGTTCCTTAATGGGCAAGAATTTCCGCTCCTACTTGCTAGATCTTCGAAACACTAGTACTCCTTTTAAGGGTGTGCGCAAGGCCCTCATTGATACCCTGCTGGATGGCTATGAGACAGCCCGCTATGGGACTGGGGTAAGCTGAATGACAAGTTTTTCCTCTAAGGAACTAATGGAATCTTCCATATTGAAACAGTTTCATTCTTCATCCTCAGGTTTTTGGCCAGAATGAGTACCTGCGCTATCAGGAGGCCCTAAGTGAGCTGGCCACAGTGTGAGTTTGGAGGGAACATGTGAAAGGGGTTGGTTGGAGAACACAGTAATACTGTCTCTTTCCCATTGTAAGATGACCTTCAGAAAGCAATAGCAAATCCCTAATTGTCAGGCCCTGGACCTCCCTGGTCGTGCAGGGGTTAAAGTCTCAGCACTATCAAGCTATTACCAGCCATTGTGGCATGAGTTCAATTCCTGGCCAGGGAGGTGACCCATATGGTGCAGCAGACTTCGCCTGTCTCACCAACTGCTTTTCTCATGTTTTTCAGTGGATCCGCCTGTTCTGGTCCCCATTCTGTCTCTGGTGAATTCTTTTACCCCCTGTACCTCTGGCCTACACCCCAGTTCTAGTATGCAATTAAAAAAGAAAGAAAGAATTGCCAGGTTCTTTTCAGCCATGAAAAGAATACATATGTTTTCTGTTGTTGTTGTTCTTTCTAAAAATGTAAGGGGCATGTCTGTTTTGTCTTCTCTGTGTCCCTAAATAAAAGTACTTTTTACTTACTCCTAAAGATAAAAAGTCCTAGTAAAAAAACTTAGAGTGGTAATGAAAATAAGATGGTCCACTTAATGTATATATTATCACAATTTTTTAAAATTTCAGTGTCTTAGTGTCTTTAGTTTCTAAATAGTGTCAATGGGCATAGTGAAAACTGAACAGGTTCTGATATCTCAGCTTTGAATCTCAGCTTTGTCACAGCTAGCTTTGTGACCTAAGCAAGTTACTTAGTGTACCTTTCTATCCAGCAAATGGGATGACGGTACCACATAGGAATATTGGTATAGGACCAGACTTAATACTCTTAATGTGGCGAGTGTTCACTAGCACTTTGTTTTTTTGTATCCCATTTTGAAGTTGCTTTCTTTGGATTGGGATTTTATTAGCAGCACATGCACATTAGGTAAATCAGCAGAGTCTAAAATTTTATTTAAGCATAGTGAGATAAAGAACCATTAAGCCAAAGACAGAGACCCCGGGGAAATCGGTATTTCTGCGATTTCTAAACTACCAGATGGGATTTTATAACTAGTTTATAAGATAAGATGGATACTGTGGCTACAACTGCATTTATGGGATGGATAAGCCCTGAATTGTACTCTTCCATTAGTCCTCATTCTGTCCATGGCCTGCCTTCTCTGTTCCTCAGGATAAAAGCACGAAGTGGGAGCTCTCAGCGACAACACCAGTCAGCAGCCAAAGACCTAACCCAGTCTCCTGAAGTTTCCCCAACAACCATCCAGGTGACATACCTCCCCTCCAGTCAGAAGAGTAAACGTGCCAAGCACTTCCTCGAATTGAAGAGCTTTAAGGACAACTATAACACATTGGAGAGCACTCTGTGATAGAGCTGAGGACTCTTGCTGTTGATGGAGACAGCATTGTGCTTGCTGGGCAGTCCCTGGTCACCTGGCCCAGACACCTAGACTGGACCAACATGAAGCTCTAGCTGAAGCTCCCGTGGTGTCTAGAGCTCTTAGAGCTCGTGCCTAGGAAATTGTTCTCCAACCCCTTCTTATGGCCAGCCTCAAAACCTCGGTTATGACTATTTCCCTCTGGTAGCCCTTTTTCTAGAATTAAATTCAGGTGTTTTCTTATTGTTCTGTCAGTTGTCATAATTATTCTGTTTTATTTAATGATGCTCATTTGATTTTGGTCATAATTCATCTGCTCTTTTCCTGATCTATCAATATCAGTAATCTCAAAGGTGGAGAGTTGGTATAAGGGGGTTTGGTGTCTTCTGTATGTGACTGCTTTATATTAGTTGAATGGGAATTTCGGTTTGGGACAGAAACTGGTAGGCCATGTGGAGGTTTGTAAGGCCATGGCTGGAATGTGGAATGACTGACCCCAGTACATCTCTTAAGCCACTTGTATGGAAATAGTAACATAGGGGCCCTTGGTGGCGCAACGGTCTAAGTGCAGCACTATGAGACAATCCGAAGCCACTGCAGCATGAGTTCAATCCCCAGCCAGGGAGGTGACCCATATGGTGTGACAGACCTCTCACCTGCTGCTGCCCTCAGCAGTGTGTTTCAGTAGATTTGCTCTGTTCTGCTGCCCACTATTTCTAGAGAATCCTCTCACCCACCACACCTCTAGCCTGTATCCCAGTTCTTGTATGCATAAATAAATGAATCTTTAAAAAAAATTTTTTTTTAAAAGTAACACAATTTCTCTGATGTGTGAGGACTTGCCGTTCCACTTTTAACCCCATACTGTTAAGAATACACTGAAGAGGAAATATTCTATGTATCTGTCATAACCCCCTCCTTGTTAAGGATGCTATGGGTCAGTGTGAAGGAACAGTCAAACCATTGTACTGGTCTAACTTTATAAATTATTTAATAAAATGAACAAGTAAGAAATAAAGCATATGATCATCCTTTACATTACCCTTTTAATAAAAAGTAAAAAACATGCTATGGTGTTTGCACTTTCCTAACATGGTAGGTCATGAGCATTTTCCTGTAAGGAATTAGTAGGATTGTGGACACCCTGAACCTAGGACCATACAGATACTCCTTGAGACTCTTCACAGAAGACAGGCTGAAATTAGGAGTATGGTCCTTGCTCATAGACTTGTCTATATCACCAATAGAAGGCTGGAGAACCAGGATTCCCTTCCAGTCTCCAGGGCAACAGGCCAAGTGACCAATCAACAACTAAATCTGCAGTCATTGTTGGAGGTGTAAACGTTGCTATGACTACTAAAGCCTCAATTACTGAACTAAACAGGAGAGCCTGTTCACTCTCTGAGAATCCTATCAAGCAAGTCTGTAGACATGTCTATGGAGAAGATATCAAAAGTTGAAGAGGTATGCAGATTTGGAAGGAGGTGGCTGGGTTGGAGGAATTTCCCTTAATGGGGTTTCCAGATCAATTTACCAGAGTAAACTTCCCCGAGAGAGGCCTTCAGTGTAATAGGATATTAACAGAAATGGGATACTATAGTACACAGGCATTCAAATAATTGTTCCATACCACCCCCTGCATGTTTTCTCTGATTAATCTTAAAAGGAGTAGAGCTTTATCTCCCACAATCTCTAGGAAATTGGTCACTCAAAAGAGAAGACATGTATCTCACACTAGCACAGGGGTCTGGGATGAGGAACTGAAGCTCAAGCAGATCAACAGAGCTCCCTTTCCTTGCAGAGCTTACGAAAGACCCTGGGACTTAAGAAGATGATTAACAGGTAATCTCTGCTCCTATCTGCTTCCCTGACCCTTCAGCATGGCCTTTTCACCTTCCTGTCCTGGAACCACCTCTCAACTTGAATGCATCTTGCTAGGAGAGCATCAGGAAAGAAAACATAAAGAAAGGGCAGAAACAGACCAGCCTAGTGCGTACTAGGTCAGGCTGTGTAGACAATGGTTTTCACTGGCTCTTGCTTTCTATTCTGAGAGGAAATTGGAGCTAGTTTTTTGTTGCTTCCTTTTTAGAATTCAAGAATTTGTTGCCTAGCATTGTACTAATCATTCAGTAAGTGTACAATAAATATTTACTGAATGAATGAGAAGACTCAAAGCAATTTTACTTTATATCTCCTTCACCTGGGAAGCTTGTTAAGAAAATATGCTCAGATTTTAACCCAGAAGATTCTGACTAGAGTGTTCTGGGATTGGGTAAGTTGTCTGTATTTAAGGTTTCACAGGTTATCCAGATCTAGCAAGGATGTGAGGTAACAAGAATGCATAGAATTTTAGTAGGAGTCAAGACATGCAGCATTTTTACAAAGGCAATTTACTGAAGTGTATCAAAATTTTAAATTTATATATCCTTTGAACAGGCAACTTCTAGGCATTTACCTAACATAATACACCTGCAAAATGTACAAGAGTATTCATGATAGCATTGTTTACAAAATTTCAAAATCTAAAAAAAACCTAGCTGGTTAAATGGTGATACAGAAATACTAAGCAATCTTTTAAACAGACAAAGAAAATCTCTCTATGCTGGTGTGAACCATCCAGGTTGGTAACTGCTAATGTAAATGAATGGTTTCTTGTTAAAAGTGTATGTGTGTGATTAATATACATATATGTATTACTTACTGATACATGATAGAAAATTTTCCTGGACAGACACAAAAATTACAACTGATGAAAGTGGGAGAAAGAAGAATGAAGCTTTTATTTTTTTTACATAAACTTTATTATTACTTATTTATGCATACAAGAACTGGGTTGTGGGCCAGTTGTGTGAAGGTGATAAGAAAATTCCCAAAGACAGAGTGGAGAGCAGAGTAGGTATATCTACTGAAATACCACTGCTGAGAGCAGCTGTGAGCAAGACAAGAGAGGTCAGCTGCACCCTGTGGGTTATCTCCCTGGGCAGGGATCAAACTCATGTTGCAGTGGCTGGCGATAGCTAGATAGCACTGAGATTTTAAACCCTGTGCTACCAAGGAGGCCCCTGAAGCTTTCACTTTTAACTCAATACATTTCTATATGGATATATTTTCTAGTTGTGTAAAAAAATTTGTTTTCTCTAAAAGCTCAACACAAGGCCCTCCCTGGTGGCACAACAGGTTAAAGTGCTGCACTATGAAACTATCTGCAGCCACTGGAGCACAAACTTGATCCCCAGCCAGGGATGTGACCCACATGGCGTGGCAGACCTCTCCTGACCCACCTGCTGCTCCCCTCCACAGGTGTTTTTGTAGATCTGCCTGTTCTGCTCCCTACTCTTTCTCTGGTGAATCATCACACACGCACACACACACGCGCGTGCACATATACACATACACACCGCACCTCTGGCCTGTACCCTAGTTCTCGTGTGCATAAATAAAATTTTTTAAAAAGTCAACATAGGTTATCTGAGCACAGTATATTGATGTGATCGTATACATACATAGCTATATACACACACACACATATCATTTCATCTATCAAAACAGAATGTGTTTAGCCAGGGTTGAGAATCACTGATATTATGGAAGGGATTAATTCTGAGATTGGGTTTGATATTTAAGTCTGCCACCAAGAGTGACCTGGGGCAACACATCTAAACTTTCCATTTCTTTGTATGATGTAAAACTAACATTTATGATACATGGTTTTATCAAGTTTAAGTGATATATTTAATATATAATATATATAAGTTCTAAATTAATTTGTTACCTTTTCAAAGAGTTTGTAGTCTGACACTGTCCTAAAGCTTTTGGTGATGAAGAGCCTCACTAATGAGATTTTGTCTCTGCTCCTAAACAACCCATTCAACCCCTATCTCTATACCTGGGGCAGGTGGCAAATTTTACATACTCGGTGTCTGTGGCAAATGATGCTGAACCAGAGGAGAAACCTATATGGCACCCTAAGGATGCAGCGCACCATGGAACAAGAGATGGCTCTGGCCAACAAACAACTCCTGATGGTGAGTTCTAGCAAGGGCAACCTGAAGTCTCCACACCGTGCCTGTGCCAAGCCCACTGGCATTCCCAGGCTCTTAGTCTCTGTCATTATTCTCTTATTTCATTTGCCTCTGAGGTCTTCACCATCACACCAGAGCAATCGCTCCTTTTTTTTTTTTTTTTTAAGATTCATTTATGGGACCTCTCTGGTAGCTCAAGGGTTAAAGCACAGCACTGTGCTGCAATCCCCAGCCTCTGCAGCATGAGTTCAACGCCAGCCAGGGAGGTGACCCACATGGTGAGGCAGACATCTCCTGTCTTGCCTGCTGCTCTCCTGAGCGGTGTACTTCAGTTAGTCTACCTGTTCTGCTCCCCAATCTGTCTCTGGTGAATCCTCTCATCCCCTGTCCCACACTTCTGGACTGTACCCTAGTTCTTGAATGCATAGAAGAACTGGGGTGTAGGCCAGAGGTGTGAGAGGATTCCCCAGAGAGTGGGGAGCAGAATGGGTGGATCTACTGAGATACACTGCTGGAAGAGCAGCAGGTGAGACAGGAGAGGTCTGCTGCACACGTGGATTAGCAGCTGCCTGGCTGGGGGTAGAACTCAGTACATACAGCATGGCAGGGCTGAGACTTAACCCCTATGCCAGCAGGGAGGCCCCAGAGCCAGAGCTCTTTAACTCCACATACCAATGCTGTTTTTCTTTAAGCGATTCTTTGTATCCAGCAGCATATGGCACATTATAAAATGTGTTCCAGTTCTTGTTCCTCTTGGTAAAACTCAAAACTGCCACTTAGTGCCCAGCACCTGCCTCTCAGAACTTCTCTCTTGCTCTGGCATCCCCAACTGCTGTTAGGTCACCACCACAGCACTTTGTCTCCTAGGTGCCTAGTTAAATTCCTGATTCATAATGTTACAGGACAGGGAGGGGGCACCTCTGAACCCCCAAACCTGCCCGCTCTAAACAGGTAATGCCACCCACCGAATTAAGACAAAATATAAAGCCCTCTAAAGGAAAGGCACTTTAACACAAGTAGTGTAGTGTGCAATACAGAAAAGACAAAGAATACAGCTTCTAGTCAAGCACCCAAAGTTACCCATCCCCTCATGGGTAAAAGTCCAGCCAAACAGGGTTGACCCCAAAGCAAGGCCTGAAAGCCCACCACAAAGTATAAAGCACCTTCTGGCTTATACTTTGGGACCCATAGAAAAGGGTCAGAAATGGTCAGACAAGTCTGGGAGGAAAAGAGCAAAATCAAATCAAGATAAATGCTGCCATAGTCAACCTCCCCACAGGTCTGTCACCCACATCTGTTTCATCCAGTCCAGGGCCAAGAAACAAGAGGCGCTTCTTCACATCTCTCTGCTCCATGTGCCTCCCTCAGGGTCTCCTTCTGGCTCCATCCTGCTTCTTTCCTCCTAAGTCTTCTCTCTAGATTTTTCTCCTCGCTGCTCAGCTCCACCCTCCTTTGGGTGGGGCAGGGAACCTGGAACCTCCCCACCTTTTCCTGGGGACCACCCTGTTAAAATAGTATGCTTTCAGCAAATTTTCACTTACTGAACATCATGGGGAAGATGCAGCATAGGCTTCCTTTCCAATGGTTTATTGTCTAAACTATTAACTATGGTTCAGCTAAATCCAGGTCCAAGAGAACAAGTGTGATAGGAAAGCATCCAGGGAGAGAAAGGGGGTGTGGGCGGGAAGGGTAAGCAGTGAGCAAATATCACACTCTATACTGCCCTCCCACCAGGTCCGTCAAGCTGCCCTGCACCAGCTGTTTGAAAAGGAGACTCGGCAATACCAGCAGGAACTCAATCAGATGGGCAAAGCTTTTTATGTGGAGAGACTCTAATGGCCTCCGGAATACTGTTCTTCCATTCTCACCATGCCTGTAAACTAGCCTTCTTGAACCTCAACCACCTCGAACTTCTTCCCCAAAGACACCTAAATCTGTTTCTGCTCAGTACTTAAAAAAGTGCTTCCACTCACCTCTCTTTTATATCTGCCCCTGTTGCTTTTGCAAAAAAAAAAAAAAAAAAAAAAAATCTATGAAAAAGTAGTAAAAGCAAGAGTGACGCCTTGTGGTCAGAATGAGACACACCATGGCTGTATTGGGGAGTAGCAGGGCTGATGAGGTGGATAATACGACAGTAGAGAACCCTGGTTTGGTTTAACAAATGAATAAAGCTAGCTCATGAAAGTTTAAACTTATACCATGGGCTCATCCTTTCAACCCCAAATCTTGATTTGTTTGGAAAGGGCTTATTCACAGCTGCCATCATCTTTTTTTTTTTTTAAGATTTATTTATTTATGCATACAGAACTGGGGTACAGGCCAGAGGTGCAGATGCAGTAAGAGGATTCACCAGAGACAGAGTGGGGAGCACACAGGAGACTGATGAAGTACACTGCTAAAGGAAGCAATGGGTGGGTCAGGAGAGGTCTGCCACGCCATGTGGGTCACCTCCCGGGCTGGGGATTGAACTCGTGCTGAAACAGCTGCAGCCAACTTCGTAGTGCTGCGCTTTAACCCGCTGCGCCACCAGGGAGGGCCTCTGCCATAATGTTAACATAGTCTAAGATGCCATAATGTTAACATAGCTGGATGTTGCTCACTACCTCTCAGAATTCACTTCCATTGATCTTGTCACAGACTTGCACAAGTAGCTCGAATGTGGCTATTAATGTAGAGGCACTGTGGTGTCTGAGTATCAAGATTTTGAATTTGCCAGTTATTGTAAAACCATGGACAAGTCTCTTTCCTCTAGGGGCTAAATTCCCACCTCTATAAAATGAATACTCCAAACTGAAATGTCAAGCTGGTTATAGAGCAGGTGATATTTATAGTAGACTGAAAAGATTCCAACTTTTGTTCAACCCAAAGGTGTTCAAAAATCAGAAAAATACCAATACATACTGTAGGTCACAGAAATCTTGTAAGATCCCCTTTACCTGCACATGTACTTCCCAAGCAAGAGAGACAACCATTTTGCAAGAACACATCACTACCTGCTGGTATAATCACCATTAATCATTCTTTTTCCTCTTCCCTCACCTTACCAACTGCAACCTCACTGATCTTTTCCTGCCCTCAGTCCCAAGTGGTCTGTTGCCATCCAGCCTTCAATATACATTTCATCTCAGCAGTCACACCTGTTCCTTCCTCCTTTCCCTGCACACATTTCCCTTGTGAGGACTGTGGAGAGGTATCAGGGTATAGAGAGGAGAGCACTGGCCCTGTCCCTGGACTTGGGGGTGGGTTCAAAGTTGATCTTTACTTCTTAGTGTGTAACTGTATGTGAGTCACTTTTCTGAGCCTTAATTTCCTGTTGGATGGGGTAACATCTGATAGTACCCATCTCATAGGATCATTAAGGATTAAATAGGATAAAGTATATAGAGAACAAGCTCAGTACTTCACACAGTTGGGTATCCCCCTTTTCTCTCTCAGGACTGACCCCTGTGACCCAGAACTTTCACAGGTCCCTTGCTTGTCTCCTTCATCTGGCCTTTTTGTATAGCTCAAAGCGGGCTTTCTTCATCCTGTGCCTGTCCCCTCTGCCCTGTATCTCCATTCACCTAGTCCCCATGGGTCCTGCTTCCCAAGACCTCTACTCTAAACTCTAGTCAATAGGTGTTTATGAGTTTTTACACCAAATAAGACATGAAGTTTATAAGCTGGCGGGGAGGCTGACACTGAACAGTGACGACAGGGAAGATGGAGAGTTTTATAGGAGAGAGAGCCCCACATACACAGTCCTACTGGATCCACAAATCCGAGGTTGAGTCTCCTGATCCTCCTGCCTGTCCCTGCCCTCTAATCCCCACAGGCCCATCTCACCTTCACTTCATCATCCTCTCTCATATAGGCTGCCCAGCTACCCCCTGCTGCGTAGACAGGTGCAGGAGAGTCTGGTGTTAGAACAGACTTTGACCTGCCAGATCTGGGTTTGAATCCTGGTTCCGTCACTTCTACTGTGGTTACTGTGTGGCCTTGAGCAAGTTGCTTTAACTTTCTAGTCTTTCATACATAAAATGGATATAAAAACCTGCCTCTTGGGCCTCCCTGATGGTGCAGGGGTAAAAGTCAATGCCATCAAGCTATCACCAGCCAAAGCAGCATGAGTTCGTTCCACAGCCAGCCAGGGAGGGGACCCACATGGCAAAACAGACCTCTTCTGTCTGCCCCTCTGCTCCCCTTAGTAGGGAATTTCAGTAGATCCATCTGTTTTGCTCCCCATTCTTTCTCTGGTGAATCCTCTCACTTCCCCCATACCTCTAGCCTACACCCCAGCTCTTGTATACAAAAATAAATAAATCTTAAAAAAAGAAAACACTACCTCATTGGATTGCTGTGGGGATTAAATAAAAGCATTGAAGAGAGTGGCATATGATGGCAAATAAATGGTAAATAAATGGTAACCCACAATGATGACGACCTGTCTTATGATGCAGATTTTATTTCTTTATTATCTGACTGCCCCAGACCACACCCTCCCTCTTTTCCCCTTTCCTCCATTCATTTGGTCACACAGAACACCCCAAAGCCTCTATCTTGATCCTTGACCTTGGCCTTTCTCCCCAGGGCTTATCATTGCCAGGCTGGCTCCAGTATTGGCAGGCTGGTCCTCTACAGAGCCCTCTCCTCTGAATCTCTCTGCCTACTCTGTCAGCTCTCATTACATCAACTGAGTAGTTCACTCCATTCTACCATCTAGCCCTTTTCTGACTGTGGCTGGTGTCTTCCCCAGCTCCTCTGGTTCAGCAGGGCTCAGTCTTTTTTGAAAGGACTGCATACGAGATGCTTTCAAGAAGGTTAAAAAGCTTTCATCAGAGGCCATCTGATGCTTTTTTCTCTTTAGTTATGCTATCTAGCCAAAGCCACCTCTTAAAACAGCTGCTCCTCCCCTACATCAATATTCCCCTCTGTTCACAGCCCCAAACACCAAAGCTCTTGCAATTTTTGCTAGTCACTTTCCCAGCCTCTGATTGTCCAGTATAGTAAAGGTTCCCAAAGAAGAGACTAGAATTTGGGGATAAAGATGGTCCTACCCACAGTCACTACAGCACGGGTTTAATCCCCAGAGAGGGACCTGACCCACAAAGCGCAGCAGAACTCTCTGACTCAACTGCTGCTCCCCTCAGCAGTGTATTTCAGTCAATCTGTGTGTTCTGCTCCCCACTTTGTCTCTGGTGAATCCTCTCACCCCCCCCCACACCTCTGACCTATATGCCAGTTCTTGTATGAATAAATAAATCTTTAAAGAAATTAAAAAGTAAAAATCACACATAAACCCCCGCTGAGAATCACAAAGGAACAAGGACATGAGACAATGCCACAGGTACTGACCCTGGGGCTCCTGCGCCCATTTGTTAGCCTTCCCCAGGGAGGCAAGAGCCATACATAGGAATTGATTAGGACTTGGGACAAGCTATCGATCTCAATCAAGGACATCCATGGTGCTGGGATATGTTTTGGGGGAGGGGAAGAGGTGTCTAGACTAATGAGAACAAGGACAAATGGAACAGGCCTAGGGGCTGAAACCAAGCATTCTCCTCCCTCCTCCACACTTCACCCAAGCCCCCCACCCTCCAGTGCAGCTATAACTTGGGCTCCTTTCTGCCACAGCAGAGCAAAGCATCTGCCTGCCCCATGGCATTCAACAGACCTGATTCCCTTCAGAAGAAAACTTTCCCAGAAAGGAACCAAGCTGGACCCCTGTGAGGGAAGAACCTGAGAGACTCCTGAGGACCCCAGGCTGCTTCCTGGCAGAAGGAATTTTCTTCCTTCACCCTTGATCTGTCTCTCCACCAGGGGAGAGCATAAGATTTCTCCTCTAGAGGCCGGGCTGAAGCCTGCCAGTGAGACATGCTGCTCTTCTCTTTTGGAGATCCAAGGGCAACTTCAAGAAGAATGCCTGGAAGACACAGGTGCGTGAGAAGATAGTGGGTGGTGGAAAGAAGTAGCCAAGATTTTGGAAATTTCTCATGATTCTTTATCTGTAGCACTAAAAGCAACAGGGGTCCAGAATGGTGCCCACTGAAAGGCCCTCACCAGTCGTGTGGGGTGATCTGGAAATGTCAGTTCTGCTGGAAGGGTAAAGCAGCACGTACCAGCCGCCCAGCTCCGCGCCCAGAAACCCCTGGGCCCCCCTAGAAGGGCACTGGCAGGCAGGTGGCAGAGCTGCAGAGGAGCCGCTGTCGCTGCTGATCCTCCAGACACCGTGGCCGTGACATCAGGGCACAAGCTCGGAGTGGGAGCTTTGAGAAGGGTAGGCGCCGGATATGGAGTCCTACCAGATTTTCTCCTGGTTTAGGTCAACATGATGTGGCAAAGGCCGAGCGCTGGTAGGAGAGTTGCTAAGGCAGGGAGGGCACGAAGGGCAGGTGAACCAGGCCAGCTGCCTAGAGAAGGTGAAAAGCTGGGATCAGTGCCCTTCTCCAAGGACACGATCCTCCACCTAGCCACGCTCGGTGCCTGCTGTCTCTGTCCTTCCTTTGCAGCGAGGAGGAAGGCTCCACCATCAAGTTCTCCTGTTTGCTTCTGTGTGATATGTTTGATATTGGGTTGTTTAATTAGGAATCAACTAAATGTCAGACATATTCTTACGGCAGCAGGCAATCTGGCAACACAATCTTCTTCGACCTCTGCGGCTCCTGTCTTTTTCAAAGAACCTCTTCTCTTCAGGGCCCCCTGGGAAGACCAGTGAAACCACAAGGAGTTCAGTCTCAGATTGGAGGGCTAGCGGAAGGGAGCTGAAACTCTGAGTATCAAATCTTCCTATTTTTTCCCCTTATACTAGAAGGGATATATCTGCCTCCTAACCTTATATTTTCTCTTTATTCAATCCAACCTCCAACTTACCTCCCCACCTTTTCCCTTCTCCCCCACACCTCATTAGCCACTATTCCTGTTCCTGGGATTGTCTTGCTCCCTAGGGGTCTTTGGGTTCTCTACTTCCTTCAGGAGTCAGCTGATGGTATGTCTGTCCCTA